TGCGCCGACCCCTCCCAACCCGCGTGCTGTGATCTGTTTTGCATATGTTTCTATTTGGCGAGGGTTGAGCGGTCGGGCCCATGTGTAGGTAAAACAGCTTGCTTGCTGTGTAGGTGAAACATGCCACAGCACCGAAGCTCCTCAACAAAACGTCGCGTCGTGTTACAGGATGTGTTTTGTATGTGTATGAAGCGTGTGTTTGCTGCCACTTTTGTTGGGAAATATAGGGACCATTGGGACAATCACCTTAGTACTAGAGTGGGCCATGAATAGTGCCTGTGGCCCGGAATAGTGCCGGTCAAATCTCCGGAAACACACCAGCACTATACAGGGACCATTACTGCATCCAATTGGTCGCTATTTTTCGGGACAGAGTGATCATCGTGTTTCCGGAAAGAACAGAGTGGTATGTGTGTTTTTTGTATGAAAGTGTGTGTTTACTAACTTCGGTGTAGGGGCATGTTCGGTCTGTTGGGACGATCACCCTTGTATCCGAATTGTCTCTAGACTATATAAAACTGGACGGTGTGTGCATTGTTATTCGTACTGCTGTACGACCTTGATCTCTGTTGATTGAACGTCCGTCCTTCCCTCAGGTTGGGAAGATGGGTGACAAGCTAAAGAAGACGGAGGAGCACCTTCTACGGCTGCTCGCCCTGAGGAAGCAGCAGGGGACTGCCGATCGAGCGAGGGCCCGCGGCGCTGGCGGCACCGGCAGGCGGCTAGCGGCGGCGACGGCGGCGTCCAGCAGCAAGGAGAAGGCCACCACCGGAGGTGAGATGTCGGTGGCAGTAGGAAGGGGGGAGGGGCGCTCATTGTCGTGCATGCCGTAGTCGTTAGACCATTGACCTCGCATCCCTACAGAGCAGTACTTGGGGGGGCACGTTAAACATGCTCGCAAATACCTCGTCAAACGCACCGTCATCACATGTTTCCAGAAGGAAATAACATGGTTTTGGTACACGCCGCACGGACGGAGTTGCCCTGTCTTGGCGATAGGATGAGGTGTTGCGGTACACAGAGTTCCCATCTTTTTCAGCCTCGTTTTGTGAATCAAGATCACCCTTTTGTCTTTTTTTTTCCACGGTAATTTTTTTTTGGTTGGTGCTCGTTTTTGTTCCTTCCATTGTGTTATTCTTCGTTCGTGCCTGACGCGGCATAGCCGCAAACACAACAATCAATGACTCTTGCCTTTTGCCCCTGTTTGTCGTTTGTTTTTCTCATTTTTTTCCTCACGCGGTGCCATCAAACTTCGTGCATGACGCGGCACAACCCAAGCCGACAATCAATGCGTTTGTGTTTTGATTCTTTCTTTCCGTTGCGATTTTCTTTCACCACCTCTCTTCCCTATTTTTGTCTCACTTTTCTTCCCCACTTGATGTCATCTGTAATTTTACGCATGATGCGGGGCACCCCAAAACGCAACAACGAATCGACCGATCGATCGAGATCAGGCCGATCCGAGAAGGCGGCCGCCGCTGCCGCAAGCGCCGCTGCCGCGGTCGGCGAGGCCAGGGTCTCTGCGGCGAAGCACCTCCTGGATCAGGCCATCGCTTCCAAGGTGGAGCGGGCGTCTCTACGGCAGGAGTTCTCCACCAAGATCCGCTCGTACGACGAGCAGACCTCGCAGCAGGTTTGGAGGGCGGACCGAGGGATGTTGTTTTTGATGGGGATGGGTGTAGGAGGGGTGTGTGTAGGAGGGGTGTGTGCGGGGCGGTTAGTAACGTCCCTCGCCGTGACAAGTTTTTTTTTTTTTTTTCGCTGTTCGGTGATGGTCGAGATTTTTTTCGAACTTGTCCCTTTTTTTTATTATTATTATTATTTTTTTTCCTTTCCTTCCTTTTTTTCCTTTTTTTCCTTTTTTCCTTCTGTCTTTCTTTCGTTCGTTCGCCTTTACACATCAGTAGGACAGAACTGATTTGGGGCTACAAGGGTTGAGTAGGTGACCCGCGTCAGACTTGCGTGCGTTCGTTTTTCTTTCGTGTTTTCATCGTTTCATCACATTTTTCCGGCGCCACCAGCCTCCAGCGATTTTTTCGGCACGAGTGTTGACGTCAAACGTATTTCACCAACGCTAGTAACAAAGGGCGATGAAGCACGCGATCAATGTCTGCCGTTGCTCTCTGCCTTGCCTCCCGACGAAGGTGTGCAACATCGGCATGCTGAGGGACTACCGTGCGCAGCTACGGGAGCTCAAGGCCACAGCCAAGCGGGAGGAGGCTGGTGGTGGTGTTGGCCATGGTGTTGGCGATGCTGGAGCTGAGAACGTCGACCCCGGTGCAACGCGCGGCGGCCGCTCGTGTGAGTTGCGCGATTGGGTTGTTGTTGTTGTTGTTGTTGTTGTTGTTGTTGTTGTTGTTGTTGTTGTTGTTTCTCACATTAGCTCTATAGTCCACAAAAAATGGGGAGCCCGTGGAACCCGTGGCCTCAACACCCGGCACATACGACGCCGCGGGGAAACAAAACAAAAATAGGGTACAAACCACTCGGAAAAAGAAAACAATAACAGGTACCGCACCGACCGTTCGAGAAAAGAGCCCTCGGAAACCGATCAATAAAAAAAACAAAAGTATGTGGTGTGTGTCACGGCCGTTCGGGTGGGTCACGACAATGGTGGTGGTAGCAGTAGTTGCTTCGTGTGGTTGTTTTGCTGCCGACGGGTTCTGAGGTTGCTGCTGCTGTACCGTAAAAGGCGGAGAGAGGGCACTCCCCGTAGACCGACTTTCAAAATCTCGATCGTTCCACAACCAAGACTGTCTGTACCGTGCCGTACACCGTACCGTGGTATTCCGTAAGAGTCGGAGAGATGGCACTCCCCTAGACCGACTTTCGAAGCTCGATTGTTCAACAACCAAGCTGATGCTAACACGAAATATGGTGGTTTCTCGTCGAGAGCTTTCCGTACACGTATGGGGCTTTTTGCCGCGCTCACCTGGTCGTGGAACAATCGAGCTTGGAAAGTCTGTCTACGGGGGGTGCCATCTCTCCGCCTCTTACGGTATTTGGCGAGGTTGTATGTACAGTAGTGCCTGATGATTTGGCCAGTTGAGCAAACCGGTGCAACGCTATTAGCTCCATCGTATCTATGGCCTATTGTCTTCCACGCTGTAAGGAAAATTTGTGTTTGCATGTGTAATTTTTTTGCATCGATCGCGATAAACGACGGACCAATGAAATGGCACCAGCCTTATCGGCTATGAAACAGAAAACTCATCTAAAGGCAGTGTGTGTGTGTGTGTTTTTTTTTGTTCTTAGTCGGGAGCGCGGGCGGCAAGGGTCAGAAGAAGGCGGGGGGGGTTCCGGTGCCCGGAAGGCCGTCGTCAACATCGTCGTCTATCGGTGGTGACATGGATACCCTCGACGGTCAAAGGGCTGTCCTGGAGGCCCTCGTACAGGAGACGGAAAAGGTGTGTTTGTGTGTCATGTTGCCCTTGTTCAACTCTTGGCTGTTGTTCTTCCGTTGTTGTTGTTGTTGTTGTTGTTGTTGTTGTTGTTGTTGTTGTTGTTGTTGTTGTTGTTGTTGTTGTTGTTGTTGTTGTTGTTGTTGTTCTTGGTGCTTTGCTTGACGGTATTGCGATACCTGCAAGGAAGCAAAACTAGCATCCCAGAGCGACTACCGCTCTACAGGTGCAAGCCCCCAAACGTTGGGCAACTACTTGGAGATGCACTGCCCATTAACTGTCGTTGGTGCTGCGGCTGCTGCCCCTTCCTCTGCTCCTGCTCCCGTGTGTGTGTGTGTGGTCCCATTTATCCCGGACGTCAGTCTTGACACCTTTGAGCATCCTACCTAGACGCGTCAGCACCCGGTGTCCCGCAGCTCCTCCGCCGTGGGTGTCGCATTTATTGTTTCGTCGAAGGGTACCAATGACTGACCCTGCGTGTTTCGCGTTGTTCGGTCGCTTACGATGATGACGGCAACGCAGGCTGTGGACGAGACGCAGGAGCGACTCGAGATGGTCGGGGTAGAGCTGGACGATATGTGCCGTCGCCTGGGCATGGGCGACAGCTTCCAGGTGAGCACACAAAGCAGTAGACACGGACCTGCCTACCTTTGTTTCGCGCGTCTGTCTGTTCCCGTACGCCCATGTGCATCGACTCGGCGTCTTATTTTTTATTTTGGGACATGGGCATCGTGCTTGAGCGTTGCGGTTGTTTATCTACCCACTGACTTGGCGTATCGGTGTTTATTTCCTGTTCTTGTCTTCCACACGTGCATAGATTTTACCACGTGTTTTTTGTTTTTGTTTTTTTGCTTCATCATCAACGCTTTTTCCGTCCTCCTCTCCCAGCATTGTAATTGATTGGCATGAGTGTGCCACCCTCCTCCATTTTCCGGGTACGGCAGCATCGAGGACAGCTCGTGATTTGCGCCCCCCCCTCCTCTGTCACGGCTGTGCGTGGCCTCATCACCCCCCCCACGGCCGATAATGCTGTCCCCTTTCCCCTCCGTTCGCCGTGTCCCAGGGCTGGAGTACCGTCTGCGACGACGAGGGCGGCAGTGTCGACGGCCGCGGGGACGGCTCCGGCCTGGGGCCCCGTGAGTTCAAGGCTCTGGAGGGGCTGTCCCCCGTGGAAGCCCGGCAGCTGGTAACGTCCCTCGTGGAGGATGCTACCGCCGCCGGGATAGGGGACATGCTTCGTCGTGAGGAGGCGGCGAAGCAGGTGTCCCAAGCTTCATTATTTTTTTTATTTTTTTTATTTTTTGGGTGCTTTTCGTGCGTTGTCTCGTAGTGAAACCACATCTGTGCATATTTGGATAACCCCCTGCTCCCCCCCCCCCCCCCCCC